ACGGGATAATAAACGTTTGGTATTATTTTGAAATTGCCGATTATACACCGACGATTGAACTAAATTAATCAGCAGCGTGAATTTATTATTCGTGTGCATTATATTGACCTGTTTACTTCATCTATAACGTCGTATAAACGAGGCACCTAAATATGCGCAGTCTAATAGAAACTGTTCTATCCGTTGCGTTTATTAATGCAAATGAATCACGAATATTTAATTACTTATACCGCGTTTTAGAATATATGTGTATTATATACTTAACTAATATTCTACCTACATCCCTTAATTAATCAGAATTTTTTTCTCTTGGTTGAAATTCACTTGAGAAAATGTTAGTCGCTTACGATAAAAGTAAAAGAAAAATAAATTCTTATCTTTATCTAAGAACATCAAATGTAATCTTATTGTACGGAAAGCGTCATTGATGCCTTTAGATGGTTTATTAGTTTATTTGCTCTCTCTCTCTCTCTCTCTCTCTCTCTCTCTCTCTCTCTCTCTCTACAACAATAATATTACTAAAAAATTATTATTTTTTAGTTGCTCGCAAAAAAGGAATGGAAACATAAAAAAAAAACAAGAAAAAAGTATATACTTGTATTCCTCTACAATCAGTTATTACATCAAAATTGCATTTCAGTATTAATATTACAAAATTATTGATATGTACGTAATATGTACGTATATTACACACACATATGTAGAATCAATTTTTTAAATGAGAAGGCATCAATGACACCTTTTAGGCGTACTAACAAGATTTAACGATTTAAATTGAATCTGTCGTTCAGGGATTTATACTATAAATGAAAATAAGAGAAATAACCTCCAAAGACCTTGATTTTGATACATCAAGATCACGAGTTTGAATGACATTTAGGTTTTAACTATCAGTTTGACACCTTAGATAATTACTGCTAATGCCGGCAGTCCGGTAATCCTTCAAGCCTTATAACTCAAAAAGTGTTTAACGAAATAATATTTTGTTATAGTGTTTTTTTAAAGAACTCTTGAGATAAAGTATAAGAATATAGAATAAAAAAATAGGGGTTTCAGTTTAAAAAAATCAATTTGATCTTGACCTGACCTTAGCGACACTACTTAAGATCAAATTGATAAGATCAGTAAATAAATCTTTTTAAACTCAACAACTTTTGTCAGAAATATTTTTCTAAAAGATGCATACTTTCTGAGATATTCCGCTGTTCCGGGATTTTTGTTCACTGTGTATACGTTAGACATCTCTTACAATTGTTCAACCATTTCGAGTTTCCTTAGAATGACTGGATTATTACTTCAGTTCGAGGACATGTCTTCCGGCAATCATTTCGCATCGTACTTATTATTGTTATCTTCTTGTCGCATGATTCTAGAGCACATCGTTAGCCAGCTGGCGTATAAGCGTCAGCACGAACTACAGCGCTAGGAATTCTAAGTGTAGTAACTGCATCAATATCGTTAAATGACAGCGATGATGTAGCTACTGTAAATCAGTTACTTGAGTAATATATGGTCTACTCTCTTGTGAAACAATTTTAATATCGTTTTAATGCGAGGGAAAGCTCTGATCGATGCGTTTATTCCGTTGTGAGGATAATTAAATGCATGCTAATGGGTAAGCAACGTGACGCGATGATTGTCAAACGCAAAACAGAATTGCATAATATAGAGATTGCAAATCTGCTTTGTCAGATGGTAGTCTGTGTATGATTTTTGTGGTGCTGATGATATTTCATTATCGATGTACAAAACGAATAAGCGGAAACTCGTGTGTCATTTCGTTAATTAAATTTATGATTCATTTGAACGGAAAGAATGATGGTAGTCACCAGCGTGAACCATTAAGCTCATTTTAGATGTTATATAATTCATAACCAAATTTGGGACAGAATTCTATTTATAATATTGCGTGTCGTGTAACATATATGTAGAAAATACGAGTATATATCAGTGATATGTAGAAAAGACATATCAGTGATATACATATTTTCTATGTATGTGTATTTTACTTCTTCAAATATTTTCTATGTACACGACACGCAATATTATGGATAGAATTCTATTCCGAATTTAGTCGCGAATTATAAATCGTCTAAAGTGAACTTACGATTCGATAAACTAATTATAAATAGAATTAGCACGAATAGAAAAAAGATTAGACATGTTTAAATTAATTCTTTTTACTAGAAACATGTTATCGAATGATATCGTTGTTGTCATGTTAATATATAATATATTTGTGCGATATTCTCATTTACGACGCATGACGTAGCCGAGCCAGTATCGGCTGATACTTTCGACAAAGCAATAAGGTCACGTCGTGTAATGAGGGAGGAAGGTGCAACGAAGTGTGACGACGGAGATGGCGGAGCGGGGCGGGCAAGCTGTCGATTTTACGTGATATTCATTTTGCACTTTTGCTGGTTGCTCGATACGTCGGCGACACTTATCCTGTCGACATTTTCACAGATTAAATCACGGGTGTGTTCGCGATGCGCGCCGTAACGGTTCATAGAAAACGGACCTGCGCTCCACTAACTCGACTAACGATAATTCATGCATCGCGTGTAAATTTACCTATCGCATACTGTTGTTAGTTTTAGCTCAGTTTAGTTGCTTGCGATCTAACGATTTTCGAACTATTTCGCGTTACAAGATAGCTATTACGTAAAAAATGATCCGTCATCGTTAAACGAGCACTGAATTGATTATATGACGAAATTAATATAACTATCATTTTTCACTTAAAAATTATTATGATGTTATTGTTTGTTTTGAACTTCTTTTCATTATTACTTTTTGAAGATAATATAAAATTGTTTTCTAATACAAATCTTATTTGAACATTAAAAAAAAATTTAAAAGTTTATCTGTTAAAAACAAATTTTTGAACAAGAAAAATCATATGATATCTGTTAAATTACTTTAGTAATATGTATATTAAAAGTAATATTTTAAAACAAAAGTAGCATTATAATAATTTTTGTAGTAATGAAAAATGTGAGTTAGGATTAATTTTGTCATCATATAATTAATTCAGTGCTTGTTTAACAATTATTTTTGGCGTATATCCTACAAAATAATATATTACACGATACTACAAATTATCGATTAAATCAATTTTATTTATTTTTTTACTTTAACATACTCTTTACATACATTTTAAGATAAAAAATAAATTTTTTTTGTAATTTTCCTTTGCATTTGTTTTTACTTCAATTGTTTAATAAGAAGTTCGACAATATCAGTACCAACGAGTACGAGGGTATCCGTCACGATTCTCTCGCTCATTCATTATGGATAGTCTCGATAGAAACATCTTCGCAGCAAGTCAGAACTCATTGCCTATTCAGTTAACGAGACGAACGATAAGACCACCTGTCAATTATGATCAGCTTTCTCACGAACGCATCTATCGCGGTTTACTGATGCTGTATCTACGTATACTGTATTCTGACGTCGTGCACTCGTGATCTCCTTGTGAAAGGAACAATTTTCCTCGCCGCTAAGCGCGCTGGATATTCACTCGTGTCGAAGATAGCGTATTAAGCTCATGTAACAAGCATTACTCGAAACGAAGATCATGAGGTTACGGCGACATTTAATAATTTAGATATTATGTCTAATAGTCATTAAATTGTTGCCGTGTATATCAATTTAAAATCTAATCTATTGCACAAGTGAAACGTATGACATTATTAAATATAAATAATTTAACGATTATTAATTTATTCCTCTTGAAAAGATGGAGAAGAACGAGAAAGGAAAGAGAAGAATAGATAGCAGAAAATTTAATGTTATGAGTAATACATAATACTTACACCGATCATTAAAGTCCATGTATGATTTTAATTTAATTATACGTTTATATCATTAGATTTTACTCTTAGTGTCAGAGATTTATTTTATACCAGTCGGAATCATGCGGAGCATAATACTCTTAGATTCTTTTTTCTTGCCAGGGCAAAGAGGATATCTGCGGGGTGATACTTCGAGGAGATTAAAACCCTCTCTATAAGCAAAGCGCAGTTGTGCTTTCACGTTACGTCTCTTTTATGCATAAAGTGCACGGGCATACCGCAAATAGCCTTTGGACACTGCCGGTACGGTAACGGTGTGCCTGATTGCGGACGATATGTTCTCAGAGATATTGCCCAGTACGAACATCCTGGAGCGTTGTCGATGGTCACGTTTCCGCGATCCGGACATCACGCTCCCTTTCTACTCTCTCACTCGCTAGAATTTCTTCATGCCGTTTAAAAGTCACACTCTGTGCTTTCGCGGAAGGCTCGAAAGATATCCGTTCCCGATAGGTATATAACTCACTCGATTTATCATTGTCTTCTTTTTGTTAGGACGGAAAATATTTTCCTGAATATGTACACGGAAAGAATAATTTTGCTGAAGTCTAAAAATTTAGCTGCACATAGATCTAAATAATTTTGTTACGTTATCCAAATCTAATTACATAGAAATCTTCAACATGATGAGTAATGCAGCAAAAAGTTTTGACATTCCAGCAACCAATTTGAGCATCCTACATTATTTTGATAATCTAAAACCCGATTGCATCAACGTTATACTTTTACTTTAAGCAAGGCTTAAAACTCTCCTCTTCTCTCTTTTTAAAGTCGAGAGAAAGAGAGAGAATTTAAGTCTTGCTTAAAGTTAAAGTAACGTTGGTGTAATCAGGCTCAACAAAATTATTTTTCAGGTCTGTATCTAATTAAATTTTTAGATATTTCAACAAAATTGTCTTTTGTATATATAATTTCTAAAAATAACATGCTTTTTTTTCGACATATGCACACAAAGCTTTAATAAGAATCAACGGCATAAGTTATTCCATTTGTAAATCTCCGTCTTGAATCGTTGACGTTTAATGCTTCTTAATGATAGAAATTAAGTTTTTATGGCACTTATTAAGTCGCGGAAACGCGTCGTTTTATTCTCGACCTATGGGTGATTGTTAAAAATTTTTTAAGTGTACGTATTCTTACTTCGTTAAAGTCTCGAGGGAGGACGTGTATATCGTGCCGCCGACGTCGATGTGAACCGGTGCAGTGTACCTCGAAGCGGCCGCTACGCAAGGAATACCGGTCATCTTCTGGTTATAAGCCGGGGCCGCCGGCGTCGGTGGTGTTGGCGACGAGGAATTCGACATCGTGGGCGAGGTGGCCGGCGAACTGCTTGGCGACAGCAATCTGAAAAAAAAATAACACTTTTGATATTAGACACGATAAGATTACAGCTTGCTAATCAGAATTGCTCGCAGAAAATTTTGCATCTCGTGTCGTAATCGAATAAAAATCGGAGAAAATTTCCATTTTTGTGCTATCATTATTTAAAAATCTCAGAATAGCAATATAAAACTTTTTCTATTTATTAACTGTTAACTGTAGTATAAATTGAGACTTCATATATTTCTACCTTTGATACATACATTTCACAGAAAAGCTATACATAGCTATTGTAAATTAAATAATTGGCTCTGTTATATTTCATATTGCGTGAGTTCTTGTGCTACATTCTATATAATTTTATATGCAACTCTAAGCACGACCAGGAAGCTAATCAAACGAAGGCGAACTATGAGCTATGAAATCGTCGACGTTGTGATTTACGATGTATGAAATTAAATGACGCTTACGGAGAGAGAATTTTACTCTGAGTTATATAACTCTTTCTCGAATAGACTATTCTGGGACGACTTATATTGGAACTCGGATGTAGACTTATTTACCTCATTTTAATTTGAGCGCTAGGGAACATATTGCGTTGCGCCGTCAGCTCCGCCTTCGCCTCCTTCCCATCGGCCTCACATTTCCGTCTGAAATGAAAAACATGGATATTAGTTGTAAGCATTGTCAATAAAAGTTAAATATAAATTTTACAACAATAAGTTAAATGTAAAATGTACGCACAAGCCATTTTTCCATGTGACTAACATAAATTAGTATATCTTTAATTTCCTTGTTTTCCTCTTGTGTGGAATTATATTTCGATTGAAGGATTTCACGTAACATTTACCACAAATTAGAGCCGATCGTATGAAATTTTCGTTATGTGTTCAACGCTTATACCTTTTAGGCGTAATACAGGTGTCGATTTAACGTATCGATCCTTACGGCTGGTCGCGGACGACGATAACGCTAGTTTAACGAGCTATTGTTTTTGGTCAAACATCGGCAATGCTGAATCGACTGAGAGCTTGGAACATTAATGCGAAATTCTCATATGCATTAATAAGGCAATTAGCGGCGAAACAATATTTGGCGGGTGCTAGGTACCGGCCGTCCAAGGGTATTCTTTTAAGCGCGCTTTCAGTGGAAAGGGTTGGTCAGTTTGGTTCACGAGTTAGAGGCACCCCCTCGAATTTTCATTACTACGTGCTCATGAAAGGCCAGCATATTATGTTAGCTATTATCCAAAGGCCTGCTTTGCATAGTTTAATACATGGTTTTTGCGACCAAGAGAATCTCGCGCTGCTGAAAGGAACCAACAAGAAATAATAAAAACAAATTCAAAATTTATATAATTTCAACGTAAACTACCGTTTCCATCAGACTGCTGCTTGTACAAAAAAGATATCTATATTTTGAGCTTTTTAAATATCGTATCTTGGTTAAATAATTCAATATTTATCTGAGCATATATGTTTTTCTATAACTTGTTATGATCGATCCCAATTAACAAATTACAATTCAATATCGAAATATGGATCTATCTTGGTTTTACCCAGTATTTTTCGTTCATAAAATCTCGCTGTGTGCGTCGTAATAATTGTTGAGACTCGAGACGGGAAGAAAGGACGCATTTAGTCGTCGCGGTACTCGTTTTCCACCGTCCAGCAAAGAATTCGCGATGGTCAGAAGACACGGCACGTGAGGGGGTACCGGTTTTCTCCTCCACCCACCTACCCTCGCCCACATCAGTCCGCGGCCGTTGCGGTGCATCGCCGCGGGAGACGCCGCGAAATGCGATGCAGCGCCTTTTCTCGGCCGCGCTGCGAGAGGTCGCCGAGCGATGCGCCCGATGCCTCTCTTCTGTTCGAAGGTGGGGAACCGGTGCGGCGGTCGTCGCAAGTCGGACATCGGGTAAAAGAGTAGAGTAAGAGATGGTGTGGAGTCGGCGGAGGCGGACGAGCAACAACGGCCATCACGGCCGCGCTGGTGCCGCGGGCTAATCGAGAGATTTATGTGGAGCTATGCATTTACGAGTATAGAAACGAATACTTGCGTACGGGATTAATTCGCGTTATTGTTGTGATCTTTAGCGTCGATGAGAGATCGATCATTGTCGCGCTCTCGCGTGGAAACACGTGTCGTCCTCGATGATCGTGCATTGACGGTATTGCGGCGAAATTAATGGGTTTTGACGGCACTTCAATCATATTCTCCATGTTTGAAAGCATGTTTGAATGTCAGATATGAGCGAAATGAAAAATCACGATAGCGTTATTGGACTAGAAAAAGCAACGGAAGGGCTAATGTTATTATTTTCTTCTTTTTTACCATTTGATTATTTTCCTACACAATATTTGCTTTTTCCAGAAATTGTATCAATTTGATATTGGATCTACTTTTTGTATTTTTTTGTTTGCTTATGTATCTTTAAATCATTTAATTTAACGACACACGGTAAACGAAAAAAGAAAACAGTAGAAAAATGAATTGAATTTTATCAATATATATGAGAGCGGACGGAATATAGTTTTGATTCAGGTATGCTCATAATACAACGTTGAAATGACCGGCAGCGCCGACGAAAGAAGAATCTGAAGCACGATATAGCTATAACAATGGCGATGATCATCATGGTCGTTCGAGTACCTCGGGGCGATTGGTCGGTGTACGAATGTACATTACGGTCGATGTACTGAAGCCACTCGCTTATCATTATGCATAATTACATGCGTAAAATCGACAATTAATTCAATATAGAAATTAGTATTTACGTATGTAACAAACAATTTACGTAAATAATTCGACACGTTGCAGCACACACATTTCGTAGTAAGATTAATATTTAAAACGTTTACGATCTCGACTGAAGCGAGCCTGGCACGTTGAGTGTAAAGAGATTTTCAAGATTCTCGCATTGCGCGTTCACGAAGAAATCCTAGAATATGGAAGCCATCAGGACGATTGCCGTAACGATATCCGCAATAACGTCCACTGCGACGTGGCGATGCCTCGAGCCAATTGTATCTCATACGCAGATAGTTTTATTACATGCATACATCCGCATATGCGCCAACGGGTACGCGCACGGATAAAGATAGGTGGAACAGAGGATACACAATTATAATGTACTATCTGTACAACTGTCTGCGTACTAATACGACTTCCTTGTTAATGTGACATTATACGTACAACGTATTAGAATAATTTTCAAATGGACACTGTGTCTGCGACTGAGATATCCAAAAGGGAGATGTTAAAAAGGGACCGATTTTGACCTGAAAAGATGTAAATGAAAGGAATACTGTTTTTTGTAGATTTTGACTTCCTGGATACGATAAAATAATTAAAAAGTTCATAGCGTTTAGGGAACACTTCAAAAATTGAGCATGAACATGATATATTTATCCAAATTTTAATATTTTTGCTCAATTTTCGAAGTGTTCTCTAAACTCCACAAATTTTTTAATAATTTTATTGTATCCAGGTCTACAAAAAAATCTAAAAAAATATTTTCTTTGAGCAAAAACATCTTTTTGAGCAGAAATCGGTTTTTTTACATCTTCCTTTGTGAAGCAAAACCTGCCGGGTCATTTAGATTCTAATATATCCATCTGACCTTAATAATACCGTACGTAGAGTACAGACCGCGTGTAGAAATACAAGCTGCAAGTGGTAGTTCATGTTGGCAGGCACGCGTCCGACGTCGCGAAGGCGAAAAGCGTTTCACCGGGCGTGAAGATGCAACGTAACGTCGTCGCCTCTCGAACGTCAAATTAGAAAGGATGACGAGTAAGGAAGAGGCAGGAGACGGGTAAGGTGATGCGAGACGCGACATCGTCCGCAACGACACCGTGATATCCGCGTTATTACCCGAGGCCATCGGAGCCTCTTACCCAGATACAATTCTGATATGTACGCACGAGTGAACGAGTGAGCGAGCGAGCGACCACCGACACACGCTGCAAAACGTATAAATTCGCGTTAAGGTGATCACAGCCCGAGGACACGGCGAGGCGGCTAACACGCGCTAAGGACGCGCGCGTGCACGATGTCGTGCACAGAAGAAGAGCACTACTAACTTTACGTGGACGTTCAATGGCCCGAGGACGTCGGCGTATGCAAATTTGAAAGCGATCTGTTATACATCGGGCGATGATGTATCATTGGGAAAGTCTGCCAACAGACGTGAAAATGAGTCAACTACAGGACCATTTTGTAGAAAAGTTCAAAAAGCTCACGTGAGTGAAGAAAATTACACAAAGGAGTGTAATTAAACGAGTATGTAAACTTTGGACAAATTTAACAAATATAAGAGTTAACATATTCGCGAGTCACAAGTGATAGAAAATTTTTTTTAATTATATTAGATTAAATTTGAAATAACTTAAAAATAAACATACATGATGTAAGCTTGTACACACATAAAGAATATACATGTACGAGAGAGGAATACGCGTCATTTTTCATCTATTTATTTGGAAAACAGTTTATTTGGCCAGGAAATTTCGTTGGGCAGAATATCACATTATACGCGAACTAACTAACATTTGAGATAAAATATTGGACTTTCCTATATATATGCGAATGATCAGTTTTAATTATTAAAACCGTTTCTATCGATCTTTTTGAAAATCTTGTCTGTTTATACTCATGCGGGTACAAAGCTAAAATAACAGAGACATCAGACGGAACCACAAAGTGATGAAATGATACCGCATGTGAATTCATTTAGACCAGTCGACTGGATTTCCCTCTGGTGATTTCATTATGAGGGCCAGTCAGATCGGCTCTCTCTGAATAATATTTGTAATGGATCCATTTGCGAGCGCACATGAACGTTCGAACCGCAATGTTATTAACGTCATAATCTAGAGAACGTAATCTTTGCACCAGCTAGTACATTGGTTTTCTCGAAATAATACGATATTTCGAATAAATTTTAGAAATTATCAATTCGATCTCTTACATTTATTTAGATATTCTTATTTTTGGAGCAATGCAGTTTTATCTGTATTCCACAAAGGCTTTAATTCATCCAGATATCTACTGCATTTGTATCGCATTATTTGTATGTATAGGCCGGTATATCAAGGTTTCAAATACGATTAATCAAATAAATTTAACCATCTGACATTTCAGTACCAACACCATAAACGCATATACTTTGATTGCTATATTTTCAAGAAACGCATTGTACACACATACCTTTACACAAATACAAATGTAAACAAAAGAAACTGACTCAGGTGGTGTTGCATTTTGGTAAAAATTGAGAACATGGATTATAATTGAGGATCGCAATGGATGCAAGTTCTAAAGTATTACGTTTTCTTTTTTTTCACGAAGAGGGAAGTAATAGAGACTATCAAATGTTCCAAATGTTTTTAATGCCAAAGATTGGAGTTGTGTCATTTGATGAAATATTTTTTACAATTTGTAGAATTGAAAAGGTTATTGTAAAAATTTTACTAGCAAAGAAAACTCTGACAAATGTTAATGACATAATGTGTATAGTATGACATGGAAATGTACCTTTTTAAAAATATTACTCTCTATGCGAAAGCACGTGCTTATTCAGCTCTCAATCGTCGCTATGCAAACGTTTCGTAAGGCTTGTGCTAATCTATCACAGTTTTGTAACAAC